AAAACAGTCCAAAAGAAAACATCCATACTCATTATTACAAAATGTAATATCCAAAAAATAAAGTTGGTATTTGATTAAAAAGTTGGGTTTATGAAATTGAAAAATTGAAAAATGAGGTTTCCAATTAACCATCATAACTGGCTGAGTGTGAGCAGCGGATATGAATGGAAGAAAAGTACACTTTTAATCTTGAGTTAAATTCGTATGAGTTAAAGAAAAGTATACACAGTGGATAGGAGAGGCTCTAACACTACAAAAATAATAGCCTTTTTGTCACTGGTTTTTAGCATGGCTTTTTGTCACAGGTTTTTGTCAAACTTGTCGCGTGTTTTGTCACTGATTTATCTCCCATGTCACAATTATCATCTTGATATTATAATTATGATTTTCGATCTAAGTAATTTGATAATGATGATAATAATTCTCCTAATCATGAATAGTTAGAAGATGACAAAATCATTATATTTAAACACTCCCCTTGAATGGTCATCTTCTAACTATTTAGGGGTATTAGTTTTCTAATTAAAAACTTTTTCAGAAAAAACCTCATTGGGACAAAAACCTAAACAAAGAGAAAAAAGAGTGCATTGCATTACTACATATAATATCCCCACAATTGAACGTATATCTCGAAGATAACACATTCTATTTTGTGTACAAATTCTTCAAATTTGTTCGGAAAATATCAATATGCACATTGTTTGATAGATCCAATAGCATTCTTTATCATTTTCACATCGTCGGAAAGGATTGTCATGCACATTGAGAGATCGAACCGCCATTGGAAAATGGAGTTAGTGTGCTTTATTTATGTAAAACTGCTTCAAAAATTTATATGTATAATTTGATTGATGGATAAAAATAGAATTTCTAAAATGTTCAATTTGAATGTCAAGACAAAATTTTGTTTTCCCGAGATCTTTTATTTCATATTCTTTCACGAGATATTTTGTAGTATATTCTATTTTATTGGAGTTCGAGTAACATTTATATTATCAACATATACTGCAATTATGATGAACCTATTTTAGATCAATGAAAGAAAATATGTGGATAATAAAATCATTTTTATACCATTCTTTAATCAAATATTCACTAAGACGATTATACAATTGTTTTAGTTCATATATTGACTTTGTTGGTATGACCCCTCTCAATGGGGTAATTTTGGGGGACAAAGCGTTGGAGGAAATAGAGGCTATGGCGGAGGAGACCACGGTGGTGGTCAGCCCGGTTATGATGGAGACGAGCATTAGAGACAATGCTTCAAGCTAAGTGAGGTGGTTCACTCATTGGTACGTACTCATTTTTTTCTACCTTGTAACTAGCATTATTTAAAATAAATAAATAAATAAATAAAATAATAAATAAAAAATGCTAGTTAGGTTGAAAATCTAAAATTGGGCAATCAAACAAAAGGGGGCTAAAATGAGTGAGTTGTGAGAAAAAATAAAAAATAAAAAGAGAGGCTAGAATGGAAACCTGAAAAGTCTCCTGGACTGAATGAGAGGAAATGTCATTTGTTGTTGGGTTACATATGCTTTTAATCCCTAGACCATTCATATGTTTGTTTTTCATCCATGTAATATTCACTATTTTGTTTTTAGTCCATCTCTAATTGAGAAACTGCTCTTCCCACTACTAGAAAAAATGACATTTGCTGCGGTCGTTTTGACTCATTTGTTGCGGTTCACGACCGTAGCAATAGCGAGCAAAATCCGAAAAATGCTATTTGCGTCAGTCCTACCCGCAGAAAATAAGTGGCCGAATTTTTCAAAAAAAAAATACACTTTTCGCGGTAGTTCCTTAACGACCGCATCAAATAATTATGCGAATTTAAGTTTTTGCGGCAGTTCTCTACAACCGCAGCAATAAGTATTCATGAAAAAATGTGCAGCTCATTTACACATTATTTGCTTTTAATGGACATTTGCAAAACATGTACAATCCAAATATCAATCTAAATATCACAACAAGACAAATGGAAAAACAGAAAGAATTAAATGAGGAAAACACGACTGTAAATGATTAATAAGGTGTGTTGGAGTAGTTGAGTCGTGTTCTCTGTTGGGTATGCTGCCTGGTGTTATGCCGTGCCAGCAATCTGCTAGCCTGTCGATGCAATCGAACCGCGTGGCGCTTGGCATGTGCTATAAAGGTGGAGGGGTGTGCTACACTATCAGCGATTGCTTTTAGCGTAATGGTAAGCATAACGATCCACAATTGGTATCAGAGCCAAAGTCACGGGTTCGACCCCCGGCAACAGCATGCTGCGCAGTTGAGGCTGGCTAGTGCTGGGGGAGATTGTTGGGCTGCGGGTATGCGGTGCTAGCAATCTGCCAACCTGCCGATGCAATCGAACCGCGTGGCACTTCACATGTGTTATAAATGGGGAGGGTGTGCTATACTATCAGCGATTGCTTTTAGTGTAGCGGTAAGCGCAACGATCCACAGGAAATCCGGTCTGGTCTGGTCTGATCTGATCTGGTCTGATCTGGTCTGATCTAGTCTGGTCTAATCTGATCTTGTCTGGTTTGATCATGTCTTGGACTGAAAACAGTCCACAAGAAAACATCCTTAGTACAACTACGATTTGGAATATAATTTCATAACATTAAGCCTTTCACATTTCAACGAAAACATTTCTCATGAATACATATATATACACACATAAAAACATACCTACTATAGATCTTGACCTTCATTGAAACTTCTAATGACATCATACATGAATCTCATCATATAATATCCACATAGTAGATCAACTTTAGAAAAAAGTTATTGTGAGTTGCATAAATCCACTAGAAATATTTAAATTTGTCCTTTTATAATTGTTTTGCATCTAATATGAGAGTTAAAACAAAATGAACCTAAGTAAACATATTTTAAAAATATATATTTAAACCTTCAAAAAAATAAAATTAAATAGTTTTTTATATCATGAAAAAAATTAAAGGAAATCTATTAGTCGTGGTTATTTTGAGGTCAAACGGAAGTTGTTATCATCATTCATGGACTAAAACGAAAACTAAATTATATTGCAGGGATGAAAAACAAAAAAATAATTTTGCAGGGATGTAAATCAAAATGTGCTATATTTGCAGGGACTAAAAACATATTTAAACCTTTTTTTGTTTATACAAGAAATCATTCCAATTATTAGCACTTGGGACCTAAGCCAATGGAGTAAAGATCATAAAGCAAGGCTATTTTTTGTATTCTGGGATGTTATGTAAAAACTGAACACTATGTTTTATTAACCTTTTTTCTTTTCTCTAGATCTTGAACTACTCTGTTGATGCTTACTCGGGGACGAGTAAGAAACTAAGTGTGGGGAGTTTGATGGTGTAAATTTATTGTTATCTATGTTTGTATTCTTAACTAGTTTTTATTATTTTGTAGTTGTGAAAATTACACACTTTTGGTGGCTTTATTTTCATAGTTATTTGTAATTTGTTTTTAGGAAAAATTGATTGTAAAAATCGATTATTCCAGAATAATCCCAACTTTAGCGACGTTCCGCCATCAATGGTCTGACGTGACCGACTATAAATAAATTCTTATAATTTCCAAAAAGATATAACATGTAATCCCTATAAATAATCCCAAATTTTAGAGGGCTGTTTAGTTTCGTTGGCAGAGGGTGGAGCCAACTGCCGGGAGCAGGCTACTGCTCACCCATCCTTAAGCAAGGAGTCAGCTGCCAACTGTCCTTGGCCGAGGCTTGGTCGTTGGAGCGTGAAAGAGCAGTCTAAAACTCTTCAAGGTGAGGACCGACTTCTAGTTGCTTACGTACAACTTGTAGGTCTTGCACAAGATTACCTAAATGCTAAATTATGTTTTCCTTGAATTAAGATGCTTGAACATGATATGAATGATAAGTAATGGACTTGATCATAAATTGAAACTATATTAATGAATATGGAGTTAAATGAGGTATAAATGTGATATTTTGAAATCAAACTGCTCGAATCTGTGGCCTAGTCGAATGAAGTATCTGTGTCATCATTCACAAATACATCTATAGGTTCCGGAACAGCTCTTGGAGGCAACTGCAGACTGTCCAAGTCATCATTGAGCATATCCACAACTTTGTTCATGGATGGCCGATTACAAGGATTCATCTCAATACACCATAACCCAACAATAACCATCTTTTTAGCTAGTTTATTGTCTTCCTCTGTAGTGCCTCCAATCTCAGCATTTCTTCCATCAGAAACTTGGTTGTAAACCCATTGCGGGAAGTACTGGCTTGAATCTTCTGTTGATGTATTCAATTTATTCCGCTTTCCAGCCATGTCAAATAACAACATCCCGAAGCCATATACATCTGCTTTGTGTGAGACCCGTCCAATATTCTTATAGAACAGTTCTGGTGCCATGTATCCAATCGTTCCCCTTGCTGCAGTCATTGTTGCAATACTGTTGTTGGCCTTTGAGTACAACTTTGCAAGTCCAAAGTCTGATACTTTTGGGGTGAAATTTTCATCAAGCAGAATGTTATGGGGCTTGATATCAAAATGAAGAATTTGCATATCACAGCCTTGATGTAGATACAAAATGCCACGAGCCACCCCTAGAGAAATAAGATGCATTTCCTCCCATGTCATTGCTGATGTTAATCCTTCTTGAGACAATAAATATTTATCGAGAGCCGTTTGGCATGAACTCATACACAAGAGCACGCTTACACCCCTCCACACAAAAACCAATCAGCTGCACCACATTAACATGATGAATTCTTTCAATAGCTGCAACTTCGCTAATGAAATCTTCTCTGTTGCCTTTTGAGTTCACTAACATTTTTACAGCAGCAAAATGACCACTACGGAGCTTTCCCTTATATACTGCGCCAAAACCTCCTTTTCCTAATGTCTCCTTAAACCCCGCTGTGATCTTCTTAATCTCCACATAAGAATACCTTATAGGCTTGAGGTTGTTATGGTTCTTCAGGAAGTCTTCTACTTTGTCATAAGCTGATAAACGTCTCCTTCCCCGTGTGTAGATCAGCAGCGCAATCATAAATGGAGCACCTATTGCTGCCTTTGTTGCTAGAAGGAGACCTGTATATGAAATCAATCACCAAAACGTACTATTCAAACGACAAAGTAAGGAGTATGAGAAAACAATTCTAAATATTCATCTGCAGCTTTAGCTAGCTTTTAGATAGTTAGTGTTACTAGCAATGGGCAAAAAAAAAAGATGGTCCCAAATCCTACTTCAATGGTATCGAACCGATTAACATGTTCAAAGAAGGGATGGTCTTTTTTCATACCAAACCGATCCCAAACCAATATCAAACCGCATGGGACCAGTCTACAGTTTCAATACATCAGTTCTCCCGAACCATACCATTTGGTTATATAAATTTTTATTGTAAACTTATTATTTATATTAAATTACAACATTTTATTATTTAATCCATATATTTATACTTTCCTATAAAGTATGATGTTTTTCCTAAAATATCAATTCAATTAAACTCCTGTACAAAAAATGTGACTAAAATTATTATGTACCAAACATCATGGTCACTATAGTGTGGAATTGAAAAGGACCGGTTGTTGTAACGAAATATTACAAATATAGTCACTACATATAAGAAGCCACATTTGTTTTAATCATATTTATTTTAGTATCATAGACTTTGTATGTCATTATTTCATTTACTATTAGTCTATTTAAAGATCTATTAAGCACACAAATTAACTAGACTTACTAGACGTGTAAGAGTATAATTAACTTAGTTTATGTGTTTTTATATTTTAGAAGTTGGAGTTTTGGAAGGTATACTTGAAATTTAAGGATACAGAAATTAGTGCTTACCAATCATATAGATTATATCCAAATATGATCCTGCACACAACGTTGAAAGCAGCTGATAAGACTCTACATACTTTGGTATGACAATGGAAAATGTGTTGTACTTATCTTAACTAGAGAATATCAAAGGAATACCCTTTAAAGTCTTCCATATTTCGATGATTATGCCTCCAACGTTTCTATGATCTTCATTGAACAGAGAAAAAAACTGTTCAGGAGCATAAGTATGAATATTTGAAATAAGATTACGCATAAACTGGATTACGCTTAAGAGCATATTCATTGTCATTAACTAAATAGCAATGATGAAGCTAGATCAAATGGTTTGGCTGATTAATTCCATGATGCTGTGATGAATGCTATGAAATTTGAGTCTCAAAGGAAAGGTCTAGCATACGCACCAACTTTCCTGCAGGAATCATCATCATCCCCCAATGCAAACCAGCCGTGAAGTTCACACATATATACTGAAGGGGGAGCTGTTATAACGAAAAGGTCAGATATAATAGCAACAACAACAAAGAAAAATAAAATATGAATAGGCCAGGTGTATTTCTGCAAGTGAACCTCCACTGTAGCGACTAGTATCCCAGGAGATATCAAAGCCAGAAACAAAACCCTGATGAACTTCTTCATACGACTTATAATCACTTCCTAAAGGTACCATAACTGAATTCTCTATGCTGCACTGGTCCTTCAAATCACTTAAAGACGTTCGGAAGTGAGAAGCTAGGTATGAATACTTTCCCCGGGTAAGGAAAGGAGAGGTGTCAAACATATGTGATGAGTTCAATGGAACCGGGCAGCTCACTAAGACCATAGTTTCCGTCAGGATTCCAAGATCATAAGGATCGCCTTTTTCAACCAATACTTCGCTGAGAGAAGAAATTGGGAAGGAGGAGCAATCGCCTTCACGAACACCGACATCTGAGACTCTGATTGTGGAGGCGGTGTAATTGATTGAGCGGACATTGAACTTCCAGGAGTAGAGATAGAGCACCGTAGCATTATTGTTTTCACAGAACAGGGTATGATTCCCATCACCGCAGTGCTCTGGGTCGGTACTGAGCCTGAGAGGGTAATGAATGTCGCCGATATGGCCGCACGAAGAAGGGGCGCAGGTTTCCCCTTCGCTCCGGTGGAACAGATTCAGGAACACAGCCAACAAAATAAACATACTGCTGGTTGATGATGATCGTGCCATCGTCTCTCTCTAGTCTCTGCAACGAAATATCACCTCCAGGTCCTCCCTCCAAAATGAATTCATTGTTTGATTGATTCCGGTCAAACAAAAGTAGATACTCTCAAATTCATTGGTAAATTTGACTTTTTGTTCATGAAACAATTTCATTTTATTTGCACAATTAAGATGTCGATTATTTTATATTCTAATTTGAAATTTGCAAGATTGAAGAGAATTTAATGTAATTTCTCGAATATGTAAATTTTAATTATTAAAAATTGAATTAATTATCGATAAAGAGATTTGACTATTAGGAATATTTTGTATATGTATTAGCCCACTTTATATTTAGAATAGCGGATGTAGGGCTGTGTTTTTGGGCCCATGTAAATTACTGTATTTATACTTCTTCTTTCGTAATGGAAAGCATGGAAAAATTACCCAAAAACATTTGTAATGGTATCAGAGCCAAATCGATCCATGGTGTGGGGGCCCCTTATGGAAAATGATGACACGATTATAAAAAATGACAACGACGAACCGACGAAAAAAATGAATGATGGCACGATCCAGACGAAGTGTCTGGTCGTGAGGGGTGTTAGAGTCCCACACCGGAAATATTTGAAACAACGAAGTGCTATATTAAGACATGGGCTACTCCTCCTATCAGGTTGACCTTTTAGGATGGAACCCCAGGTCTTAACATGGTATCAGAAACAGATCATGGGCCGACCTTAGAGTCGCGCCGTTGCCTAATACTTCGGCATCATTGGTTGATCCCTTAGCCAAAAACACAGCATCACACTCCTAGAAAAATTACCCAAAAACATTTGTCATTGACTTTTAATATTAGTTAACAAAAAAATATTGATTTTGCATAACAATTTGGGACGGAAAGTAGTTTATTTATCCCTTAAAATTTTATTATCATTTCTACATTTAGTCCACATCTTTCATTGTTCACTTTTGGGACTTGATTATTGTCAAACGCGATAGTCATGTATCACAACTGATCAAAGTCAAAGATGTAAACTAAAATTAAATGTAATCAAAAGTAAAATTTATTCTTACACAAACAGTAATTACATAGTTTTTGAAAAAACAATGAGGTCCGTAGGGAGTACTCCGTATAAAATTGATGTCAGCTAGGGTACCCTATCATAATATTGGTATTACATATATTCGTAACACATATTATTGGTCCACATTATTTTTAAATCATCTATTTATATTTTAATCGTTCCATTGTAATCTTTTGATTGATTCATATGAACTAGGCATGAACCTCAAGGGTACTATAAATTTTGCCTATACATTTTCTTTCGTCAATTTTGGGTATTAATTTTTTATTTATATCACACTACCTTTATCCCGGTTAAAGATTCTCATTGTAAAATGACATAGTTATTTAAACAGTAATTAAGTAAGATCATTTGATTATATTATGAAAATAATTTTGATGACTATATAATACTTCGTAGAGAGATTCACCTAAATAGGACTAAAACAAGGTAGAATTGCAAAAATAGGACTACTATGTTTTATTTAACAAAAATAGGACTAAAAAGAGGTAATCTGACAAAACTACTCTTAGTTAAAAAGCGATGCACACCAGCGATGCACATCAACCTCCATCGATACCTTCAGAGCACCGCAGCGCCATGTGTCGTAGCCTGCATCATCGGCTACCAACCCTGCACTCATCAGCGACCAGGTAGGTAATCTCTTCTTCTTCTTCTTCTTCTTCCTAGTTCTCTGCTTTTTTTATTTTATCAATCAGATTTTTTCTAATTTTTTGATTTTTGAAAGTTTCAAACGAAGTTATATCTACACTTGAATTTCTTGTTATCAATTTTGATTACTCTGAATCTCAAAATGCCTTGACTAATGTTTCCAGAAAATGTTACTTTTGAAAGAGAGAATGTCATAATCATTAGGTATATTTAAAAAATGTCACATTTATGTCATTACAATATTTGAAAATATCATATTGAGAATGTCATATATCTATACAAAAATTGTCATTATTGTGTCATTATGCATATTAAGTGACATTCTCGCATATGAAGTGGCATTCCTCATGGAGGTTTGTACAATCGCTTTCATGATAGTTTCAAAGAAGTAAGGTTCCGTTTGGTTTGGGGTGATCTCACATGAAGGCCGGAATGTGATGCACGGAATGTTAGATACCCTTGTTTGGTTCACGGGTTTGAAAAAAATCGGGAAAGTTACATTCCCGGGAATGTAATATGGATGGGAATCTTAAACCCGTCTATGCCTTAGTTTATCTCACATTCCCGGGGTGATTTGATTTTCTTCCGAAAATACACTCAATTAATGATCTCTTTTCATTTAATTTCTTTATATATTCAATTGTTATCAAATTTGATTTTTTGTGACTTTATAAAACTTTTAATGTAGTCTCTAAATATGTAAATTTTATTTACTAAAAATAATCTTATTGTTGACAAAGATCGGTTATTTTAATTTCATGGTCTGTCGAACATCGTAAATTGTGTAACTACCTTTTAGGTGGGACAGACGGAGTATTGATTATATTCAAATGTCTATTTTCATTATTTGCATAATTTTTTTCCTTATCATTTTAATTTTTTAAGGTATTTATGTTATAAGAGTTATAGATTATTTAAGTTTTGATTAGTGGGTTTCAAAATTTAATAGCAAAGTTGGTCATTTTTTCTTCATTTTGAAAACAACTTTTACGATTAACTTGATCATTTTTAAATATTAATTTTTTGAGATGATAATAAATATATTTATATTACTATTTGAACAAAGTTTTTTTTTTTTCATTTCTGTATTGGATCTACAACTTTTTACAATTAAACATATTTTACTTAAAAATAATTCAATTAGGTTGGATTTTATTTAATATTAAGATATTCATTTTTTCTTTAATTTTAATCACCTTAGATGTATATTGTAATAGATTTATTCCGTTAAGAGAAGATATTTAAAGGGCATAAAAGTAATTCATCAATTTAACATACCCAGCAATCTGGCATTCCCTTGATGTTAACCAAACACAAGTGGGAATAAATTGAATACATTCACATCAATCTAACATACCCAGCAATCTGACATTCCCATGGTAATCTGACATTCCTTGAACCAAACATACCCTAAATGTAATGCCACAAACATGACATTTTTTCTTCAAATAACCAACAATTTTGACATTCTCAAATTATACGAGTGGCATTTTATGTACTTAATAAATACAACTTAAATCCAAAAAATCCAAATTAATAAATAAAATTCAAATCCAAAAAATCTAAAGAAGAAGAGAACATAGGACCAAAAATTTGAGATGGAATAGAAGAGGAGGAGGAGGAGGAGGAGGAGGAGGAGAAAGGGGGGAGGATACCTATGGTCGATGACGGAGCTACGGTGCGTGGCAATAGCCGATGGCGAAGCTGCTTTCCATGGGAGGAAGGGATGTGCGGAAGGGGAGTGCGATCGATGAATTGCAGAAGGGGTAGAGGGATCGATGAATTGCAGAAGGGGGGATCGATGCACTGCAGGAGAGGGTTTTGATGAATTGCAGGGGGGTGTGGATTTTAATTGTAGAAGGGCAAAATTGTAATCTGGAGTCCCATTTAAGCAATTTAAAACTTCAAGTCCTATTTTGGAGTTTTAACCATGTTTTAGTCCCATTTGGAATAATTTCTTATACTTCGTATAATGTTGTCATTGATGGTAATTGTGATGTTATAACCTATAACTGTATTAGTTTAATATTTGGTGATTAAATCGTCATTTAAGAGTGGTAATTATTCAGTAAAACATAAATAGGAACATTTAGCTTGAACGACCAAAAAAAAGAAAGAGAAACCCTCTGGAATGGAGGGAGTAGTTTTTAGTGTAGCTTATTAATATCTAACAAATCGTTGGCTGTGTTAGAATCGTCAGCATCTGTTGAAACTATGATTGAATTGATTGGATTAATTGAATCTACTAAATTGTACTCCGTATATAAAATATATACTTATTTAATAAACTAAACAAAAGATTTTAGGGGAACAAATTTAATCATTCTCTCGACCAAATTAAGCCATGATGGAGTATATGGCTCAGGGATCTCCGGCCCACAGACTCCTACTTCTCCTGCACAGGTCCAATGAGTCCAATACACGTCCAGGGCCCAAATACAGCGGCCCAAGTGTCAAGAAGCCCACAATACACATAGGGGTGCCTTCGGCCTCCCTGACCGAAGGCTCCAAATTACACATGACAGTCAGATTTGAGCATACAAAGCTACTGAGAGAAAACTGTATAAAACAGGAGCCTTCGGCATTTCCATACCTTCGGCATCTGGGATGCCTTCGGCTGTACAACGCCCTCGGCTAAACGAAGCCCTCGCCCACAGGGGGAGCTTTCGGCCAAAAGCTCAATCATCGAAGATTCCCTTTGGAGACAAGCAACCACCGCATTTAATGCGACGTCACATCCACCCACCACATTTAAATGCGGTGCACATGCGAGTGCCG